TAAGGAAGATTTCGATTACAATCTTGAATCTGCCATTTTATAATTTGCAAACATTCCTAAGAAAATAGTAAACAACAGGTTGCACACGGAATGTTTGAAGTAGAGGGTAGGTAGAACTTGAATCCAAAATTTAATGCAAATCGGTGATACACATTGCTAAATAACATTTTGAAGATTCGGGGAGAATTTTTCTCCGCATCCTTAAGTGAACTTAAGCCCTGGCCTAGGTTTTTGGGTATGACCTTTCCGCTTTTGTTGTTTTTCAAAAATTTTTATTTATACAAATAAATATACCCGAGGTAAACGTTGTTTGCTCGATCCTTTTAGGTCTTCTACCAAACAAAAACAAATATTTGTGCCCTCAGTTTGTTTGGGAATAATAGTTTATTCCCGTCATCTACCAATTTTTTTGATTCCTTGCATGATATGTCGCAAAATATGAATTCGAGGGGAATGTGGAATGATCGGAATGGATGTATAATAAATTTTCGGTATACAGGGTGGTGACTTGCGTCACGCATCATAGGGATTTCAATGTAAAATTCATAACATGCGATTATTGGCTCCCCAAATTACTTTAGAGCAAACATGTATTAAGGTTTTTTGTAGAAAAAAATTTTTTACGTCAATAAACCGTATTAGTTTTCAATTTTGTACATAATAAAGACGGAAAATTGGAAAAATAAAACCCGCATCTTTTTCAATAATCTGCGATGCCATGGAATTTTCTAAAACAAAAAGATGTCCAGTTATCAATTAGCAGCAGTTCGAAATGGATTTTATGATCGACTTGGTTACTGTCTTGCAGTTAATGATGACTAATTCGAGCATTTATTGTAAATTGTTATTAGGAAACCGTTTTTAGTAATTTGGTCTTTCTTTATGTTGAATTCGCTGTTCTGAATATAATACTTTTTGATAGAATTTGATTTGTTTTATAGCACATTCCATGGCATGATGGATATTGGCGTAGTTTTTGTATTAGAAAATTCCATGGCATCACAGACTATTGAAAAAGATGCGGGTTTTATTTTTCCAATTTTTTGTCTTCATTATGTAAAAAATTGGAAACTAACGCGGTTGATTGACGTAAAAAATTGTTGTCTATAAAAAACCTTAATACATTTTTGCTCTAAAATAATTTGGGGAGCCAATAATGGCATGTTATGAATTTTACATTGAAATCCCTATGATGCGCGACGCAAGTCACCATCCTGTATACGAATTTGATCAATGGGAAACATTTTCTGTCCACTATTTTGGGTGCAAATTTTCAATAAATCTAAATATATAGGAATAGGTACCTGCGAATTCTGCGGAATACCACCGAGTGTTCGGATCTCGGAAATAAATTGGAATAGTTAGAATAGAATAAAACAATATTAAATTTGGGTAGTAAGGTGCCTAATAAATAGATAATGTATATTACCTACCTATGTTGCAATGCACACTAATTTTTTGAATATTTTAACACAACTTTGACAAACAAGTCGAAATTTTCACGTTATTTACGGGAAATCTGATACCTGTGTTATAACTCATAATTTTATTGCCATAATTTCAAAATCTCTAGGTACTAAATATTCTCGGGAAATCAATCTTAATGGGGTGGCGCATCTAGTCACCTCCGAGGAGCACATTGGCAGGTACATATTAATGGAAAATACAAGGGAAATCCTACAGCATAAGTTTATTCCGAAATTCGAAATAAACGAAAATAAAACTTAGGCAATAGACCAATTTCCATACTATATGAAATACAAGCATGAAATGACGAATTTATTAAAGCTTGTCATCTCAAAGCATAGTAAGTGGTACTGTGCAGAAATTTATTTTAATCAATTCCAAAACGTATCCGTAAATAAATTGTTTGGTTTAGTAATATTCTTACAGGTGGATTATATAAATTCGTTTTTATGACGTTTCTAGTCAAATTTTACGGGATTTCCACAATTTGCATAGGTACTAAAACTTCTAGAAAACAAATTTGTTCAGTACATATAGCATCTATGTACTGCCTATAACCTTTGAATATAAAATATATTTTATATTCAGAGCTATAGCTTATGTGGAAGCTAGAAGGAGTTGTGTAGATTAATTTTAGAGGCATTAATAAAAATTCAAGAGTAATAGCTTTGAATTCAAAGGTAATAGGTAAACTTTCATCAGTGTCGTGAATCAATATACCTAATTAATTCACTGGTTAAGAGCGGCGTTCTAGATTTTCAGGACAAGAATACTTAAATATTCCAATACAAATTCTTTGCCATCTACTTCTTGGTTATAGAATATAAACGTAGAAACTTATAAGGTGGTTGCGTAATTGAAATTCTTTGACAGCGAACAAAACGTTATAAACAATATAGCTGGAGGACTTCGAAATATTTAAATTGAGAACGTGATGTAATTTGAATGTGTGCGTAATTTTAATGTTTCTTACTGTTTCGTGTAAACAGCTCTAATTCAAAATGGTTTTGAGGAGTAGGTGTAACCTGAATATAGGCACCCTAAACTCATGGGACACATTTTTGTACAATGTAGGTAGCATAAATTGAAGTGGTAAACATATTACAATTAGCCCTTCGGACTGACAACAGTTAAATTATAAAGAAACCTACCAGCAGATAAACGGCCAAAAATCCCGCTGCGATAGCTAAACTACAACAAAAACAGGACTCCAAAAGGGCCATTTTCACTTTTTGTAACTACATTTTAATCAAAACTTAAAACGCCACTCGTTTTACTTATTTGGTATTGTAGCACCTTATTTTCCTAATTATGAATTTTTTGAAAAAATATGTTGGAATTTACGTAACGTTGGGAACTTGCACGGCGCGCGCGGTTTTTCCTTTTTTAAATCTGGAGTTAAACTGAAAGCGCGAGTGTGTCAAACTGATTATTAAACATATTGTTCACACGATTTTGCGCTTTTAGAATACTTTCTCTGGTAACTTACCTGCACCTTTGAGGGTAAAATTATTTGATTAGTCTGCAGATGGAACTTCCTGTATAGTAGGCAACTTATATAACGAAGCATTGGCAATCTTGCTTCTCAATCGAACTATGAAGGAAATCGTAAGGTATTTTTTTTAGATATTTGAACAAAAAGAAGTCCCACGTTGCTAAATTTGGGCTGTCGAGACAAGGTACATTTGTTGCCAGCATATTTGTATACTTATTGTTCTTGCAAGTACCTAGGCAATGAAAGCAAGCTCGCTCGGCTAAATAAATGGCTCGTCCATAAAGATCCAGTTTATGTACTTGATATATAAATAGCTATTATAGGGGACAAATAATACACAAAATTATAGTAAGTACATTATTATTTTGCATACATTTTTTTAGGTTGCGCTTTCGTTCCACCCCTGTTAACTCTTTTTCTACTTTTTCCTTTTCTTCGACAGTAGTTAAACTGTTGCTTTCCCCACACACTCTAAAATATTTTGTTTGTTTAGTAGTAAGAAGTTGGTCGAAATTACTGTGGCAGCTCTGATAACAAAGAAAAACTTTGATTGTTGGCTTTTGACTCCAGAATTCTCTATATTTTCCTATATAAAATTGAAGCGTGTTTAATATAAGTTACAAAGCCGAAGTGATAAATAGTGAAATTCGCGCTTGTGTTATAAACGTTTACATGTTACCACTAATGGGAACTAAGAAAAGTTTTTAACACACTTTAACATTTCAGAACCAAATTTTAAGAGCAACAATGTAAGACGGATTACCCTCTAACAGAACGTAACGTGTCCATTCTATCTACAAGAGATAGAGAACCAAAAAATACCGGTTCTATGGCACTAATATAATAACTCCTGAGCAAAAGCCATATAAGTCATTGTAAAGCTTCTGACAATTCTGAATTTAATACGTGAACGTGAAACATAGCAAAAGGTTAGGTTCTACCGTCACAGTCGTTTCCATAGAAGCAACATTGTCATATGAACGTCATTTTATATCATGCTCCGCGTTTTATTTAAAATAAGAATAAGAAACTTATACAAATTAAACATCTCAAATTGTATAATGAAAATCGTGTAATCGAGTCAAATGCAATTCTACGTTTCAATTCAGACAATAATAAACACGTAAACTGATAAACTGTATATACCTAAAGGATATCAAAATTGGTAAGGTGTCGGTCCGGCATCGTCTACCGTTAATTTAACATAAAAAAGTTTACATTTATTTTTTAAGTTATTTTATAATATCCCATTTATGGCTGTCATTTTTCAATAAAAAGTGCAGGTGAGAATGCAAGCAGTATCCAAGAGATAGATTATCGCTGAAACAGACCCACATACCAAATAGAAGAAAAATTAATTAAGCGGGCCCAAGACGAAAGGGGCAGATAAGCGAAGAATCGAAACGGTATTAGAATGCTTTCTCCACGTGTAAATGGGTAATCGATTCGTAAGTAGTAACAACACAGTAGAGATCTCTCTCACGAATATATATTTCTAAATAAAGTCATAATAATAGTTATTTACATATGAGTATGGTAAATCAAGGTTTACGTTAACCAAGATATATTAAAGATGGTAGGATGACTCGCCGCCATTATGTAAGACAGAATGCGGCGCCAGTTAAAATCGCTCCCTAGATGTCGCCACCCATCCCAGTGTACTTCACAAAACTGTCAATTTATTCAACACGTCATTTAAATTTGAATTAAACCATCAAATATGAGAAAGTGTTTGATTTGAGACCACAATACGCCCTTAACTAGTGATGCATCTTTATTTCAAGTTCCTTCAGTATGTAATTGAAGCATTTCGACTTTTTTTTAGTCAAAATAATTTACCTACTTTGTGTAAATGCAATAATTACAATTCTTGTTTTGTAGATTGTCACAACGCGCAGCTTCAAAAAAATATGCGAAACTAGCAAAATTGGTCTAGTGTCTAGTTAAATTGTTGACGTTTATTATAGAAAATTTATTTGTAAATATTTGTAAAAAATGTAACAGGTTGTTTCCCTGATAATTATATGGAAAAAGGGTCTATGTTTTAACGCATCTGTATTTTAAATTTCCATGGAAAGTAGGAGAGCGACAACTAAGTAATTGTACTCGGCATGAGACCGACGGCAAGGAAGCTGTGCAGAAGTGTAGTGTAGTTGTGTTTCCCACACACTGTGATGGGAGTGATTGTCATTCTTCTGAAGTCCGAAGTTGGTCGTTTTGCAGAGGCGTTAGATGGGAAGTTGACTAAGGTTAGGATAAGCCACATTTTCCTACTTCCGTTTTGTAGTTCAGCCTCCAGCACTGCCACACTCCTGGAACGGAAGTTGGTTAAAGTTATTGCACTAGTCCCCTTCTATCAAGAATTTAGATCCCTGGAGCTTCCGAGATTAAGTTATAAAATAACAAGGTAGGTTGAACAAGTCGGGTCCCCTACCTTCCATCTTAACAGTAATAATGTAGACTTTTGCTAGTTCCTCTAATCCACATCTCAGCAGCCGAGAATCTCTGTAATCAAACGGACAATAATGATTTTGTGTCAGAGGTTCTTACATCTCTCGGCATGATTGCTTACACTGTAGATTGTGTAGGTGAGGGTCATTTGATGCTTCTCTTAATATACGAAGGGTGGCTCCTGGTTTGTTCACATGGTTTACATTGATCAATGACCTGTTGACTTCGCTTGATCCAGTACAAGCTCCGACAGCTAGGCGAGGTGAGAAGTCTGTAATGCAGGTATTGCGCTACTATTTACTGTGATAACGAGTATCCTTTTCAGTGGAACCCCCCATTCCTCTGTAACTTTTAATTAACTTTAGCAAAGTGAACAGTGCGAAGTGCAAGTTTGCTTGCTTATACATCCAATTAGTACCTACTTGTCTATTTTATTTACCGAAATTGTTTGCAATAATAACTAGGTATAACACACTGTAGATGCCAAACCACACCAAGTCGCTAAGTACAAAATTTTTGGTCATAACATCATAACCTAAAACAATTTAAATGACATTCATTTGAAGTACACTGATCACCCTGGCGCCATCTATGGATTGAGTTTACCTAGCGCCGCATTTGGCGTCAAATTTTACAGGTATAAGCGCGCCTACCAGTCTCTATATATCTTGACGTTAACGATTGAGCATGTTTCTGCCGAAGCGTAGCTGAGGCAGGAATTTCGAAAACGAGTAACGTTAACTGATTTAACATTACAAATATGTAAAACATTTATTTCATACTGCTCTATTTCTATTAAAATACCATTTTTATAGAATGTTGTAGAGGGGGCTAACACCGAAATCCACGTGACGAGAATGATCAAAATTTTTAAACCGATGGAGTTCCATTTTGCCCTATCAGAGTATGCTAAAATCGTCGTTCTTGCCGCCTCAGGTTCATACGACTTAAGGCGCTGCGGGTACTTCTTGCGGTACCAATTCTTGAAAGGTGTTTTTCGAAAAAAAAGTTATACACAAATGAAAACGTTTGATAATAGCTCTTAAAAAAAATATTTAAAAAAATCGCGCGGCATTTTGATAACTCCGTAAAAAACCAAATTCTTAGTCGGTTTTTCACGAATTTGTACGGATACCTAAACTAGGTTTACGGTGGGACGAATTGAAGCTGAATTTTTTTTTTACAGACTTTGATTATTGTACTACTATATGACTTAACGGTGTTTCGTTTTTAAATTTTTTTCTCTAATTACAAGATTATCTTTATTTCTTAACATTATAAGATATCTTAATAATTAGAGGAAAAAAATTTGAAAAAAAGAACCACTATCCATAGTCATTGGCTGTAATTAGTCGAAAAAAAAATCAGCTTCATTCTTCCAACGGTAACCTAGTTGGATACCAGCCCGACATAGTAATCAGACAGAACATTCTGGATATTATTGAACGAGTGTTTACAAATCTATTCTATTTCGTACTTTTAATAACACCCTGTACATAAGAGAATTTCTGTCTCTTTTTTCAAGGACATGAAATGAAATTTGTATATGATGTAACTATACCACGTGTTCGCAACTTCGCCTATTATTAATTTATCAAATACAGTCACAAAACACGTACAGTTTTATTTGTACTTATAACCTAAATTTGTAAACTGGCTGTGCCTTTGGAAATGGAAGATAAAGTTTTCTTGCAAGCACCACCACCACCTTATTCATCCGGAGTTAGTTCGCCAATGGCAGTAGGTCAAGGCCAACAACCACAAATGGCACAAATACAAAATCCACCTTATCCATACCATGGACAGCCCCAACCCAACTTTGGAGGGCCACAACCTCCCTTAAATACCTACAATGCATCGCCAACTCCACAGGATCCTTATATGTCCTCGCCTCTCATACAGCAACCTCCAATTGCCGCAATAAATTCTACACCACGACATTATCAACCTCGACCGTTTGGAGGGGTAAACTATGGTATTCTGATATAATGCCTATTAAATTTTGTATTTACAGATTGGATTTAGAAACCCCAAACATAATTATATTGCTATTGGTATAATTGTAGTGGTATTTCTAGTTTTATTGATTGTTTTTCTCACCGTATTCTTCACAATATTCAATAAAACTAATGAAATGATCGACGGCGCCATACAGAAACATGACGAATTTCAAAGAAAGCATTTTTCAGATAACTGGTAAACCGACTTATTCTAAACCGAGGTAAATAAAATCATGTCGAGATCTATTTCTGATTTAATTTTTATTTAAATACTGAGATAACTTGATTAGCTGGGAGAATTACATAAAAAATATGGGGACAATCAAGAGCCTTTGTACGTAGTTTTGTTTTTAATAATACTATTCTTCTGTTACAGTGCCTACTACATGTTGGAAGCTTTAACTATACGAGATTTACAATTTTTGTAAGCTTACAGTCAACTGGCTTGCTAGTTTTATTTTTTATGAACTAATCGAATATATATCTAGTCATTTAATCAGGTCCTGCATTTTTTATATGGAGCTTTAATGATACTTTTGCTGGTCTGATTGATTGACTGTTTTGTGTGGCATAATTTGAATCTTTATAATATAAACATTAGAACAACTAATCTTATATAATTAACTAAGTATGTTATAGATGTATTTCTATTTTTGTACATTGTATTATTAATGTTACTTATCAGTTTTTATTAATACTAACTTTTAACTTATGTATCACATGACATTGATGGTGTGATTAACGGAGAAGCAAAAACCACATCTGTGACATATATATGTGCCTTTATGCTCTTGTTTGTAACTGTGTGTCTTCCTAGAACCAATTTGTATTTGTCGTCATTTTACAACATTCTAGCAACTTTACATTTATATTAATGATAATATAAATATTTTCATAAGCGGGCCATATATTGCAGAATGTTTTTATGATTGGGTGCTTTTTTTCGACGTTGAAAAAGGGGTTCGCATATGTGCAATGGTCTGTATACAGTGGATTAAAATTGTTCTGTTGATTTGTGATATGTTGGAAAATAATAATGTTAGAATAAACACGAGTTTGTTCTCCATCTTTTAAATCCCTTGTCTAATAGGGTCAGGGAATCTTGTTATAGGGAGAAACTGGTTAAGTAATTTATTATGATGCATCAGGTCGCTGCCTCCGCAAGTACAAAAGTTCCGCATATTTTTTCACCTCATCCGATTCCGCCGCTATTAGGTAGGTACCTAATACAAAATGCTGTTCTCTTTTGTGTAACACTACCGGTTTCATACTTAATTATGTGTAACCGTTAATTATGCACTATTATATAATTATTATAATAGCAAACAAAATTTTTTAGCAAGTCATATTTAATAACCATGTAAGTTGTTAACAATAATAATTAAATTATATATTACGGAGGTTAGATCAATTTCCCATTAATATATAAACGAAATCTGTACGGTACAATAATAAACAAAGTAGTGTACTATTTCAATATATTTCTGGGTAGGTATACACATTTTTTCCTAACTTGTACAATGGACAATATACAAATAATCTACTACAGTTTAATGATGTTCTGCGGCTTCTTTACGTTTCATTTCTGCCCATTTTGCCTTATTAGCCGGTGAGTTTGCTGTAATTTATTTGTTAGACTGTGGACTTAAATGATAATGGCGTAACCTACCAAGCTTTTGAATCTTGTAAAAGATGGGAATAGAGACGCCTACTGCAATGAAATAGTAGCGATACAGCCAGGAGTTGTTCAGGTAAAATTTGAACGGGAACTGCGCTACTTTTGCGGAAAATGTGTAAGGATACTTCATGGGTCTTGCAACAGCCTCCGCTTCATTTGCCATTCTTAGTCCTTCCTGTAACAAAATATGAAACTGAAATCAAGGCAGGTTACGTTATTACGTAACGCGAATGCAATACGCAATTTGTAGAAGTCTTCAGGTATTACTGTAACAATTATTTATTGAATTGGTAATTGGGAAAGTTATAATTAATTCAATTAACTACAAGAATTAAAAATTTCTTACTCGATTAACGATTAACAGAAACCTAACCTTTACACCGACTTTGGCAACTCGCTCACTTTTCCAAGCGTCTCAACCTCACAATGCGAAAAATCCCCAAATTGTTTACGTATGTTGGTAATCTTTTTAAATAAAAATGTGGGAATAATTTCAGTTCAAATGTCATTTACGTACTGATTGAATTTGCGCAACTAAAAAATTCTAAAAGTCGACCCCCCTGCTAGAATCGACGTAACGGAACATTATTTCCATAATAGTTTGATAACCTTTGCATTTGCCCTATTTTTTAATGAACGGATTTACGTTTTCTTCAAAAAGTATAAATACGAAACATTGTTGCGACGTAATGTAAATAGTTTATTTATGAGTGGGTATTATAAATTGAAGAGTATTATTGGGCATTTTAATGATCTCGCGATTATTTATTAAGTATTCCTTATTAAATGTTGTAGGGGTGAAAATCATAAAATTTAACGCTACAGGTAAATATATACCTACTCTAATTTTGTTGTGTACAGGGTAAGTAGGTAGGTCATAACGGATAAATTCTGTACTGAAACAATTCAATGCTGAAACTTTTTAACGCTAATGAAAACGAAATGCATTTTATGCTCCTTTATTTAAGCAGTACCTATAGGTAGTGAGCAATAACAATTACCTAGTGTAATGGTAAAGTTTAATCAGTGTATGTACCTACAAAGCAATATATATTGTTCAATCAGTTATCGATATCGCAGCGCAAGTGAAGGCCCCCTATTATAAGGTCCTAATTAATCTTAGAAAGAGTTCCGACAATTAAGTAATTAAAAATCAATTTAGGAAATAGTAGGGTGGAGGGGCAACTTCAGGCATCCCATCAATGCGCCAAAAGTGAATTTTTTTCTGAAAAGATCATTGATAGTTCTAAAGTGTCTGATACATCATTAATATAGTTCGGAATTTAATTTGCATTTTGTAAACAAAAAGTGTTGCGTCCGGCTTTGGTAATTTTTAATAACGAAATTTTGAAGATGAAATTTTCCTTGATGAAGATGGCGGTTTGCTAGACATAATCGAATTTTGTTTGACTAGAAGGGTCTAAACCAAAGCCCATTTGAATCCTTGTTACACTCATGTGTTCCCAGCCTACTATATTGAGCCATCTATAATTTTCCATGTAGTTAGTTGAAAATTTCGCAAACAACAAAGAATTAACGATTTAAGTCGATATTATGATACTTAGAATACTGCTTATTTATTGTTATGGAACTTTACTTAAATATAACATTTTCAAAGATTCCACTACCCGCAGCCACGCACAATCTACATATTTTTGGAAGCGACACATCGAATTTTTTAATATCATTTAATGATCAAATTAATTCCAAGTATCATAATCAAGGCAAGGAATAATATGCACTTCAACATGTAGAAATATGCGCATATATATGCACAAAAATAGTGATAATTATGCACCAAATATGCATCATGTTCTTTTAAAAATGCACAATTTTTCCACAAATTTTGTATTTAAAACAACAGGTTGCAACAACTTCATAGTATAATTTTCAAAAAAAAAATGCACAAAATATAACTAAAAACCAGGCTAAAAACTAATTAATTTCAACTTACACTATCCTTTGATAACAACGAGAAAGAAAATGCTACTAAGTAGGTACTGCTTCGTAAAACTCCAAAGAAAAACTAATAATTACGGCAGCGACTACAAATGCAGACGTAAAAACTGCAAGCTTTTTATGCAATCGTCGGAATTTATGACTCACTAAGATGCACAAAACCCGTGGCGTCGACTTATGAACAGGAAAGGACAAAAGTTTCTTGCTTTGCAATTTTATAATAGGCCAGAGACAAAAATTCTTTAGAAATAACTACATAGGGATCAAAAATGCTTGAATATGCTCTTGATAATATGTTATGCGCAAGGGCACTGAAATATGCAAAATATGCAAATATTAATTGGGTTATTTGAACTCTATTCAAGTTGATCAGCCCAGATCCAAAAGCACACACATGGCATATTATTAATTTAAAACATGCATTTGCATAAAATCACTGCCTTGATCATAATATTGACTTAAATTATTAAAGCCACCTGTCTTTGCAACTCTTATAGTTTCTGAGAACAAAATTAGGGAAGAAATGCAAATTTTACCACTTTTTGAATGTGGCTCCCAAACGAAACACATTGACCCTCGGTATATTTGGAAAAAGTGATTCCCTCTACAACCCATTTATCTTAAACATTTCCATATAAATTATTGGTGAGCAGATTTTCTGGTAGAATTTCGGAGTTTTGGCCTCAGTTCCTTGTAGAAGTTATTGAACTATTAATTATTATGAGATATTGTTGATAGTAAATATTGGAAGTTTTTATTTTCTTAACATTTGACGAGGTTTTTTCCATTGAGTTTTAATAACAACTATTGATGATCAGCTATTCAAAACCCTGAAAAGACTTTATGACTAGGAACTCTTTTTAAAGTTTATCAAGAACTCTAGGGACCTCCAGAAGTCTACTTACAATTTTAAAAATGAGGGGATAACTTCACTTCCTCCGCTGTTATTATGTAAAATAATTTTACAACTATACTGGGCGATTAATTAGTAGCCCTAGTCAGTTTGGCGTAATGGTTTAAGACTCGGATTCTAACCTCACAGGCGGTGAGCTCGAATCGCACAATTCGCCAGTTTTTAGTGGTACAGAACATCTCTTATGAATTATGATGCTTCGGAATGCATGTAAGGCTGGTGTTTCCGGTAGTGGTGTTACACAGGAGGCTGTTGATTCTTGGGAGTACAACCCATACGATAAATAAATAAATAAATTAGTAGCCCTGCGATTCTTGCAGCGAACGGCTCATTTTCGGTCTTGTGTCCCACAATGGCGCCATTCTGTTGTAGTTCTACTAACGGCCTACTATGCTATGGTACTCTTGCGAGTGTGTTTCTAAGTGCTAATTTCATTCCAAGTTCTGTATTAATTTTTGAAGCAATAGGTCGTGGGAAAATACGTGGGAAAAGATGTTTATGAGATATTTCTTAACTATTTTTTTAAATAAAATTCATTTACATGAATTTTGGGATAAAATACTTATAGAATGATCAGAAAATTATTAGTATCAACCGCGCTTGATTTTACTATTTTATAATTCAATTTGTGTCCATCAATTCGAATTAGGTGCTGTTTTAATTAAGTATTTTATATACCTTGACTTGATACTATATTACACGCGTTTAAAGTTGTAAATACGATTTTGGAGAATAGGTAAGTAATAAAGGAAGTGATTTAGTAACAGGTTAAACGTATTGCTTCTTTTTGTCTTTTCAAAAATTGGAATTAGGTCCCAAAAAGTCATGTTACAGTTCTCAGTTTTGAAAATGGATCTTTTTTTCTCATTAATTTTGGATTTTACACTCGAAAATATTACATATCAAATTACAATTTATGGTAAACCGTTTTAGTAGAAAGTGGAGCGAAACTACATTAAAACCGAACAATCAATAAGAAACAAATGCTGTTATGTCATAAAACAAAACACAAAGAAATGTTTAATATTTTTAGCTATACAACCACGGTATAAAATAAGAGGGGTGGGATCGACTTCTTATCGTATAGGCACATAGGGAATCTAATTTATGGTCGATGCCATATAAGAGAGACGGAAAACTAGGCACACTTGCACAATGGTGTAGGTCCCCTTTGACTTAAAATCCAGGGAAAATCGAAAGAAATAAGAAGAAATTTATAGAAAATAAATTATATAGGACTAAATTTTTCACAAAAAATCCAGACATATGTCTAAAACCTTAAAAAGAAAACAATTGGAAGGCGCAATTCGGTGCTTCCCGGAGACTTCTACTTTTAGGACCTTTTAAAAGCGTTATATCGCTTTTCTGGAGTCCTTTCTGGAACTTTTCAGGCTTATTCCATAACTTTCGAGATCTTTACAGGTTTTTTGTTCTTTTCAGAACTTTGTACACTCCTCGTGAGCTTTCTAGGTGTTTTGTATTGTTTCGAGAAGCCCCTATATCCCGTCAAAGCTTGGAAACTTATATGGTTCTAGGGAATGCCTATAAGGAACGATTTAACGTGTTTGTGCTGTAACGGATGTTACAAATTTACACTATTCCTTCTGGTTAATTAAATTGGGTATGGTTCTTATTGTGTAATTATATTAATATGCCTCGGCTGCTCGTCGGTAATAATTATCTTCTGGCCTCAAGGATAAGGGGTAAGAAAATAAATAATAATTCAATAATCTTTATTAACTTTCAATTGGTTCTTATTTTTCTTAAATATCACCTTTACTGTAAGAGAACCGATCCGTGTGGCGTAGTGGATTTGAAGCCATGGCTGCGGTACTAAGGGTCCCTGGTTCGAATCCAGGTTCGGGCATGAATATTTGTAAATGTCGGCACCTAAAAGTAAAACTAATGTCGATTCAACATACTTATTTGTTATGCGCATGCGTAACTCAACTTTTTTATTTGTTGAGTTAATTAAATGATATTTTATGTGCAAAGACTTTGAATAAAAGTATCTCTAATGCTGTTTTCGAATATTTGTATTTATAGTTTTTAAATATACCTATTTATAGAATAGCTCGCTAATTTAATATTTCTCATCTAATTAAATTTGACCTCGAAATAACTAGACAACACTAACTAATAAATTCAATTCGCTTTAAACTTAAACTTGTATAAAAGTGAGGGATTAATACCACTGTCTATCCAAAGCACAAAAACGATTAATGATCTCGAGGACCGTTCGGTATTCAGTTAAATCGGATTTTTTAACTTATTTTATCATTGTAATGAAACCCATTTTCTGCATTACTCACATGTTAATTAAATTAAACTCTTCTGAAATCACACATGTTAATTTATTAAGGATGATGAAATTGGAATAACAAATCAAACGTAGTAGAAAACCTGTTCAACTATTTTTTCACCATGAAAAAAATCATGTTTTGATAAATAATGAGGAAGTGGTTTTTTTGTACCTAATCCAAATATTAAACTTGCGATCTTTCAGGGTCTCTGCTTCGTAATGAAAAATAACTTTTTCAGTTTTTTCTATTATTTCTGGATTTCCGAAACTAGCCATTTAATGTAAAGTTAAAGTAAACAACATTTTCTCTAAAGTACAATATTTTATAGTACTTTGATTTTCCAGTCAGTGGTATTGACGCTGGACCATACTGAAGGACTAGGGACATTGATTTTTTGTAATTCAGCAAAAAGGTTAAAATTACCAAACCCCGAAGTATTGAAGTAAGTGGTCTTTAAAACGAATTTTCAGTGATTTTTCCGTTTGCCCAATATGCATTTCATTACAATATATTCCTATACCTCTAGTATGTGAAGGATAATTGGGTAATTTTAATTTAAATCAGTAGAGCAATTATGTGTTTCCTATAATTTATAAACTATGACTGCAACGCCAACGGTCAGAATGGTTTCAGCTTTTTCCAAATTTTATCTATTTTAATTTTGTAAAGGTTTTTGTAGGGTATTATAACCGAAAAATAGAAAAAAGGGTAAAAATGTTAGTTTTTTGGGTTTTGCGTTGAGTAGTAAAGCGACCTAAATGAAATGGGCAATTATTATTCATAATGCACCCATTTCGAGGGAGTTAGTAGCTGAAAATTACCTGCCCTCAATTTCACTTCAAAAAATGTTGAAACATCGCGTGTTCTCAAAATAAACGGAATTTTTTAATAACAGACTCACGCGCCAAGACTAACGAATACAATTTGACTATTGATTGAACTCTGGATAAATAAAAAATATCCTTGAATTAGAAACTATATAAGCAGCGAATCTTAATTACCATTAGATAATTACTCAATTAAAACAGACGCCGCCGATACCACTTAAAAAAAGCGTTGTATTTAGCTTTGCGATTAATTGTACGCAAGGTATATTTCTCCTTATCTTAATCGTGGCGGCATTTTCCTAGCTGGGTAAATATGCTTTAACTTTTAAGGAATGTAAAAATAGTTTTTGAGTAATTGATAAGAGAGTAAGTAACGTTTAACTCTTTAACCTTTCGGAGATATCAATATTAAAATGAATATCTCGAGTCTTTCAATTGCAATCGTGTTTCACAACGGTAGCGTTTTTAAGACCGTGTTTGAAATTTTTAGGATACTTCCATAAGATGGCAGCGAAAGAGGTGCAAGCCCAGATTCTTTCCGGGACGGAAATTGCCAAGTAAGTTTTTTTAATGTGTTTTATTGAGTGTACTTATGCTATCTTCGACGTGCTTAGGGAAATTCGGCAACAGCTGGCCAGGGATGTTTTGGGAATGAAAACCCTTTTGTCTGAATTCCGACCAGGTTTGGCAATTGTTCAAGTGGGTGACAGAGAAGACTCGAACGTGTATATTAGGATGAAGATGAAAGCTGCTGAAGAAATCGGTATCAAAGCTGAACACGTACGACTACCAAGAACTACTACAGAAGCCGAGGTAGGTGTTTTCTCCGTCCACTTAGTCGAGACAAAACGAAGAACATTTTTCAGCTACTTTTGAAATTGAACAAATTAAATTCCGACCCTTCCGTGCACGGAATAATCGTACAAATGCCTTTGGACTCCGATAGCAAAATTGACTCACACCTCATCACTGATTCTGTCTCTCCCGATAAGGATGTCGATGGGTACGCATCTTTGACTATAACTCTCACCATAACAATAGTGCTAACATTACAGATTGAACACAATCAACGAAGGTCGTGTAGCCGTTGGAGATCTATCAGCTTTTCTTCCTTGTACACCAAACGGTTGCATTGAACTCATCAAACGATGTGGATTACAAGTGGATGGTGCAGAAGCCGTTGTCTTAGGCCGAAGTAAAATTGTCGGTACACCCGCCAGCGAGTTATTAAAGTGGAATAACGCGACGGTGACTGTATGCCATTCACGAACCAAAGACCTAAAGGAGCAGGTAATGATGGAAAATATTTATGCACAATGAACGTTGACCCATTAAAGGTTAACCAAATTGACAAACCTTATCAATGTATTATCGCTTAACTTCAATATTACTAACGTAGGTACTTCTTATAGTGTCAGAGAGCTGACGTACTTGTTGTTGGAATTGGACGTCCGGAGTTTGTAAAAGGCGATTGGATTAAACCAGGGGCGATAGTCATCGATTGTGGAATAAACGCAATTTCAGGTACGTAGGTATCCTTTAGCAGAAAATGAAATTAATCAGAGATATTCTGTTGCAGATTCCACCAAGAAATCAGGTCAAAGACTGGTAGGCGACGTTGCATTTGATGAAGCGCGTGAAGTAGCGTCATACATTACTCCAGTACCTGGTGGCGTAGGTCCTATGACTGTTGCAATGTTAATGAAGAACACTGTATTGAGCGCGCAGAAATCTGCACAGAAATTACTCGATTCCAAATGGAATCTTAGACCTCTACGACTTCGTCTACAAAACCCAGTTCCAAGGTACGGGTGTATTCTGGTCCAATTGGGCTTTAATAGACAATTTTAGTGATATCGAAATTGCACACTCCCAAGAACCAAAAGACATAACGCAATTGGCCAACGAAATTGGTTTGTACCCTGCCGAAATTTCTCAGTTCGGAAGCAAAAAGGCGAAAATTTCCTTATCGGTGATAAACCGTTTGAAGCACCAAAGAAATGGAAACTACGTGGTCGTTGCTGGGTATGTCTTTTCTTGTGCCTAGCATTGCTATAATCTCTCGATTCGTAGAATTACCCCCACCCCTCTAGGCGAAGGTAAGAGCACCACAACGCTTGGGTTGGTGCAAGCTCTCAGCATTCACAAAAACAAAAACACTTTCGCCTGCCTCAGGCAGCCGTCTCAAGGCCCCACCTTCGGTATTAAAGGTGGAGCGGCCGGTGGCGGATACTCCCAGGTAATTCCGATGGAAGACTTTAACCTTCATCTAACCGGTGACATACACGCGGTGACCGCCGCACATAATTTGGTCGCCGCACAACTTGACGCTCGAATGTTCCACGAAGCTACTCAATCTGACAAGGCCCTTTACGACAGATTAGTCCCCACGATTAAAGGAAGGAGAAAGTTCTCCAACATTCAGTTGAGACGTTTGAGCCGTTTGGGAATTACCAGTACTGACCCGAACGCCTTAACCGACGAGGAAAAGGCTAGATTTGCTCGTCTCAATATTGATAGCTCAAATATCGTGTGGACTAGAGGTGAGATTATCTCCATCAAAACTCTCTTATATCTGTACGTCTGTCCATTCCTAACATTTCTTTCACTGGAAAGTACTCGAATGGTGTTTCATAACCGAACAGTTCGTGAATTCCACAACTTCATCTATATACAGAGCGTGACAAATGTGTAGGAGTCAAAACAAGCACATTTTTTCTAATAAACCATGTAGGATGCAATTTGCGGCTTTACTTAGGTTTTTGGGCATTCTCTTTTTGTTTTGTAAAAATATTTCCAAAACTCCCACCACAAAAAACGAATCAAAAATTTATTTTTAAAAGTTCGAAACAAAGTCCAATTGCAATTCTTGCTTGGGCCACACAAATGTAAAATGTTTATAATTTCTAGATCTCAATTTATTGATTATGTTGTGCGCGTTGGAGTAATTAGAAATCTAATGATTTTTTCATTGTCGTTAATTCCATCCTTCTATCAATATTCTTTGCTTCTATGTTAAGAAAAATTAAAGAAGAAGCGTCAATCGAAAATTTCTCGGGCTCGGCGAATATTTTTAGAAGGATTTCTTCCGGTTTTTTCTGTTTTTATGTTAAATCATACGCTTTAAATGCATTTACCAATGCATTATTTGTAGTGGTGGACATAAACGACAGATACCTGCGCAAAATTACCATCGGGCAGTCTCCAACCGAGAAAGGCTTAACTCGCGAATCCAGTTTTGCGATAACCGTTTCGAGCGAGATTATGGCCATCTTAGCTCTCGCTAAAGATTTGGGCGATTTTAAAGAGCGACTTAGCAAAATGGTGGTTGCGTTCGATAAATTTGGGAAGCCAGTGACCGCAGACGATTTGGGTGTAACGGGCGCCCTTATGGTTTTATTAAAAGATGCCGTTGAGCCGACGTTAATGCAGTCGCTCGAAGGAAGCCCCGTTTTAGTACACGCCGGACCTTTCGCAAATATTGCCCATGGATGTTCATCCATTTTGGCAGACAAGGTTGCTCTAAAGTTGGTGGGAGAAAAAGGTTTCGTAGTAACAGAGGCCGGTTTCGGATCTGACATTGGTAAGTGACATTTTTCGTAAAATTCCAATGTTTCGTGTTCTGCGCGAATACGTTTCGTTTCCCCAAACGTATGAGCAATGGGCGGAATTACTCGCGATTATTCTTACGTGCGTTATTAGGCGATATTTCCATGTTTTTGATTTTAATTGGGAAAATGATAAAATACCATCAGGGTGCTGTTACAGACCTAGAAAGTAACTTAATGTATGTGTTAGGTATGGAAAAGTTCTTCAACATTAAATGTAGAGCTTCTGGAGACATTCCTAGCGCTGTGGTGCTAGTCGCTACAATTCGAGCATTGAAAATGCACGGAGGTGGCCCCTTGGTAACTCCTGGAACTCCGCTTAAAGATGAGTACCTCAACGAAAATCTGGATCTCCTCCAAAAAGGTTTACCCAACCTCATAAAGCACATAAATAATGGGCGGCAGTTTGGGGTCCCAGTGGTCGTTGCTATTAATAAGCACATGGCCGACACTGATGCAGAAATTGCTTTGGTTAAAAGAGTGGCTGTAGAAAATGGCGCTTTTGATGCAGTTCTCTGTACACATTGGGCAGAAGGTGGTGCTGGCGCTGTAAAACTTGCAGAAGCTGTTATTCGCGCCAGTGAGGAACAACCAAACTTCCACTACTTATACGATCTGAATCTGTCCCTGGAAGAAAAAATGAGCAAAATAGCGAGAGATATGTATGGTGCAGAAGCAGTTGAACTTGCTCCAAATGTTAGGGGAAGGGTTGAACAATACCAAGCACAGGTGAGCTTCTACCATTACACCGATGAGTATCTAAAATTATATTAAAGGGCTACGGAAATTTACCCATATGTATGGCCAAAACGCCTTTATCTTTAACAGGCGATCCTACAATTAAGGGTGCTCCAAAAGGGTTTACCCTGAAAATCAACGATGTGACGTTATCTGCTGGAGCCGGATTTATAGTTCCGATTTGTGGAGAGGTAGGTGCTTCCGAGACTCATATTAGAGCATAGCTGAATTGTTATTTACAGATTACCAAAATGCCAGGACTACCCACACGACCATCGATATACGACATTGACTTAAATACGGAAACGGGAGAAATTGAAGGACTATTTTAAATTGTATAAAGTGTATAAATTTTACAACCAACCTCACGTTTTTCTATCAACTAATGTACACAATCCCATTTCTCTCTTATGCCCTTTTGCAGGTTGAACTATTTACAAAAACGCACATAATCCGGGTCAATGAATGTAAATCAATATACCTACCTATAGATCTATGTGAGGACGGATGAACTAAAAGTTTGGTAGCTTGATGAGCTTCAGAACGGGATGCAATCGTTCTTTCACAAAGAAACCAAGTCAACAAAAATCCCCTGTTAAACTTTCGATCAGTTCGGCTTTCCGTGTCCAATTCGTATCACGTATCAGTACCTATATCTAACCAAACCAGAATCATCGCCACGGTTGCTAAGACAAACCTTCAGGTTGATCGAACTGCGTACGATTTGAAAGTTTACCAATGATGATGGATAGAAGAGTCTGTCTACTATTGACAGCCACGAATAGCAACGTTCCAAGTTATCAGGAAGTGGTTTTATTATGTCTTTGCCATGTACGTGGCTTGAAATATCCCACATCAATGAGAAAAGGGGACGACTTGACACCCTGATGCAAACCAGCTGACTTCAGGATATACGTGATACCTACATCTTTGGGAGACTGCTAAACAAAATCTCTACTATACTCGTCTGCATTTTAACCTTTTCCACCAGGTCCGTCAGCGTCGCGCTCTGTGCCTCCATACCACCGTTGTGCTCAAGACGACGAAGACCGTAAATTTTCTCCACAATCTCCGAATGATGAGATTTCTTTACTGCAAATCTAAGCTATTTTAAAGAATTCCGGTGAAGCAAATTAGACCGTTCATCACACAAAGAATTAGTTTGATTCCTGATTATCAATTTGGCTTTCGCCAACCGAATTCATACCATCGTCCGCGAGAAATCGCTTGAATCAAGGTTCACCGTCGCGATTCCACTACTCGTTCGAAAGATCATACTACATTAATCTTTGCTCGTTCCAAAGATCATACTATCTTTGCTCGTTCCGAGCAACGCAGCGACGCTTTGGCGACTTGTAAAAATTACGTGTTTATTATTTATTTTTGCTTTTATTTGAGTGGGTGGGATTTCAGCCAAGGCTACTCTACCAGCCCAACCCACTATACATTTACAAATATCCATGCCCGACTCCGGGACCCTTTTAGTACTGCAGTCCTCAACTGCACTACACCACACACGCCGGCGGGACGCGTTGAGACTCTAGAGCTCTCAGTCTTAAGCCAAAAAGAGGCGATGTACCTAGGCTGTTGACTGCAGATTCAACTGGAAGACCAAGGTAGCATTCTAACAATTTGAATTGTCACCGTGTGATTTCTCCCCATCTTTGGAAATTTTTGTTTTTGTTCTCTTCTTGGCATATTTTATAAGATGTGTGAGAAATAAAGGCTATTATTATTAAAACCAACACCCAGTAGGATCAAGCCTTTCAAAAAAATTTTTTGAGAGCTGCTGCATAAAACTCTTGCTGTTGTTCAAAAGGGAATAACGATGACTATAAAGGATCAAGCTTTGAAACCTGGTCTCTTACCTACAGCTGTGCACATAAAGCACCAAACATGGTTGCAATATATATAAACAAATATTTAAAAAATCTGCTGCTGCTACAAAACATATTGTGGTAGTGGTACCATAGAAAAAACACGCAAATACAAATCCAATAAATTTATTTTTAATTCTAACATTCACTTAATCCTAACAGCCGCTCTCAACTTTGCTGAACGGCTCCTAGGATTAGCCTCCACCTCTTCAGCACTTGGTACAATAACATGTTTATGCAAGCACTTCCAATTAGATTCTAAAGCCTCAACAAAGAAATCATTGTCAATGTTAACACTATGACTAACGTATTTAAGTGGCAATTGATTTGCAACATTTTGGATGATATTTCCGAGCATGTGTCGTTTGACAATTGTATCCTCCAAAGAATGAAACGTGATTGTAATCAATTTGCCACCTAACTTTAAATATTTCTGAGATAAAATCAGACTGTAATTAATTTCGTTCAATTCATTATTAACAAAAATGCGTAAAGCTTGAAAGGTTTTGGTGGCATTGTGAGACTTTCGATGCAGCTTGTCAAATCGAACTTCATCTCCACAAACTGAGTCGATTAGATCTGCCAATTCTTCGGTTGTTGTTAATTTCTTAAATAAATATCTGGTCTCGATTATGGCTCGTGCAATTTTTCGTGCCTGTTTCTCTTCTCCGTACACTTTTAATATTTTATACAGATCCTCTTCAGTTGCATTAGCTAAAACTTTGGCGGCAGTGATACTGTCTGGAAAGCGATCACCGTCCATACGCATATCTAGTGGTCCATTTTTTGAGACAGAGAAGCCACGTTCTGCAATATCGAACTGCATTGAAGAACAACCATAATCAAACAATATGCCGTCAATCGAACCAGGTGCAATGTTAAGGGCGCTTAGAAGAGTTGGAAGTTCTGAGAAACGTCCGAGGAGTGGTATAATTCGACCAGGATAGTCGACCGCTAAATCAGCCATGTACCTTTGGGCTGAAGGGTCTCGGTCCAATGTAAGCAGGGTGACATCTGCTGTGGTCTCTAAGATTTTTCGACTGTGACCACCAGCCCCAAATGTCATATCTAAAATTAGATGATGTGGATCGGGGTCCAGGTAGTGCAATACTTCGTTAGCCATTACAGGCGTATGGGGGGCATTTTCTGCAACTTTGCATGCAGCTTGGGTACATTGATAACGAACTATGGGTAAGCCCTTACTAAGGAGTCGCAACATTATTTACTAGACCGAAAATAAAATATCTTTTCCCACAGAGAACGACTCTCCTTCTCGAGAGTATCCAAAACTTCCTTTGTCAAAGCTTCACTGCACTGCTCTGCAGTTAATCCTGTTGATGTTGACGATAAGCTCCGAATGTACTTGTTACCGTGCTCGTTATTGACTAACCGTTGAATTGCCAAATACTGCTTGTCCCAGTACTTTTCGTTACCGGATAATGATCCGTCTTGATTAGCTTTAGTTATGTAATCTCGAAGGTGCTGTCCCAGATCCCTATGACAAGGTTTTAGGTTAAACGGGGATTTTAGGTTAGGTTCCTTTGCATAAAATTAATATACAAACCTTCCTGGCTTATTTTTGTCAAGAGGCCACCGTTCTATTAATTTAATAATCCTATTATAAATACCAGAGCTGCTCATTATTCCTTTTATAAATCAAAAACAAACTTCATCATAATTTGATCAACTAAGCTCACATAACGCTTTCGTAGCCACAATATACATAGTGCTGCGAAAATTGTGGATACCGCAGTAAATCGCCTAAAATCAACAAATAAAAAGAAAAAGTTTATAGTTGAGAAATTTGGTCTAAATGTTCTTTGGACTTTCCTGTTGAACATATTCAAAAACCTCATATGTGGGAGGTGCGCAAGTATTAATGTATATGAAATAAGAAAACTACCATCATTGATTAAATCAATGCTACCGAGAAGATACACCTCTAGCGTAAAATCAGGATAAAAATAGCCCAGCTCCCTCCAATCGAGACGGTTGGGCAGCGTAAGATGGAGGAGAAAAGTGTGTTTGAAGGGGAAGGAAGAGAAATAGGACAAGTCTGAAACTGGAAAATAAAAGACAACAGCTAGGGAATGTGATTCATCTTATGCACCAACTTGTATATTATTCGTAAGGTAAAAGTGCATACTTCAAGTGCTCACGTGTTTGGGTACTTTGGTTTGTCAAATGTCAATGCCAGACGATTTCTTTTTGCCATGTTCAGACGGTTCGTTAAATCCTAATTTGTAGTTATGGCTGGTATACTCTCCGTCTCTTCTCGTAATTTACCACGGCCGTTACTTAGAATAGTAAAAATTTATTTAAAAAAAAACGTTTCCGAGGTACTTATCATACATCTTATTTCTTTAGTTTCCATGTAGAAATTACCCATTACATAACAGTCTAAACTTAACCTTAACAGGTAAGATTTAAATTATGTAATTTTTCAGGTACCCATTAGACACAAGTCGCTTTACGAAGCCACAAAATTAGTACAGAGAGCATGTCGTATTAGCCACGGCGATGATATATTTAGGTGGGTATCATCATGTTAAAATTTCAGTGTACCTATTTACCATTACTTTTAGGCACAATTTGCGTTTGGTACCATTATCGGTTAGGCACTTTCGTACATCCGGACCGTCATTTGAGATTGTCACTGTAGGTGCGCCAGATTTCCCCGATTCAGTGTCTGAGGGTGACATCAGGTTAGCACCTCCCTGTTCAAAGTTAAAGTTAACAATTATCCTTTAGGTGGCAGAAGAAAGTTGGTGATAGTGTTAGTACAGATGAAGTTATCGCAGAGATTGAAACGGATAAAACCGCCTTACCAGTCATGTCGCCCGGTAACGGCACAATTGCCGAAGTATTAGTACAGGATGGTTCGACGGTTAAGGCTAAAACACCTTTGGCAAAAATTGACTTATCCGGCGCAGGCGGTGGTGCTAAACCAGCACCTGCTGCCAAGGCACCCACACGTGAGTATCTTAAAGTTGGACAGTATAGTTTTACGTTTTTTAAATATTTGCTTAGCAATTAGGTAGTACTTTCAGATAATTAATTTCAGGGTCAAGGGAACTATGTAAATATAAAGAATTATATCAGTCATCTGTCGGTGATTAGATAAATTTAGGCAGTGGCCCCCATTTTTTTTAATTGCTTGATTTAAATTATAGCAGGTACTTTCTCCTTTAACCTTGAGTTAGGATAAATAACGTCAGGATTTAAAAACATTAATCCAAATTCTTTGTTATAATGCATTCCTAGAGTTCTTAGAAATGAGAAATGTGAATCAGCACAATAATGTTGGGTATTTATTGCTAATTAAATGGCAATATGTGTAAGTGGGAGGTGTGGTAACAGCCTTGCACTTGCCTCTAAAATATTAAGGTAAAGTTGCCTGGAACTGTGCAATGTAATTAAGAAGGTCAAAGTAACTAAAAGACTTGTCTTAAAAGTAAAACATAATTGCATAGTCTCCAGGGGTTCA